GTGTGCACAACAAACATACCGTGTGCGCACGACATAGTATTGTGTATGCATTACATACATATTTCATATCATGTGTGCACAACAAACATACCGTGTGCGCACGACATAGTATTGTGTATGCATTACATACATATTTCATATCATGTGTGCACAACAAACATACCGTGTGCGCACAACATAGTTTTGTGTATGCATTACATACATATTTCATATCATGTGTGCACAACAAACATACCGTGTGCGCACAACATAGTTTTGTGTATGCATTACATACATATTTCATTTCATGTGTGCACAACAAACATACTTTGTGTGCACAACATAGTATTGTGTATGCATTGCATACATATTTCATATCATGTGTGCACAACAAACATACCGTGTGCGCACGACATAGTATTGTGTATGCATTACATACATATTTCATATCATGTGTGCACAACAAACATACCGTGTGCGCACGACATAGTATTGTGTATGCATTACATACATATTTCATATCATGTGTGCACAACAAACATACCGTGTGCGCACGACATAGTATTGTGTATGCATTACATACATATTTCATATCATGTGTGCACAACAAACATAAAGTGTGCGCACAACATAGTTTTGTGTATGCATTACATACATATTTCATATCATGTGTGCACAACAAACATACCGTGTGCGCACAACATAGTTTTGTGTATGCATTACATACATATTTCATTTCATGTGTGCACAACAAACATACCGTGTGCGCATGACATAGTATCGCATGAGCATGACATGCGTATTACCTATTGTGTGTGCACAACATAGTATCACGTGCAACAAAATAGATATACTTATCATATGTGCACGACATGCGTATTGCGTGCACATGACATAGACATACATATCGCGTGCTCGACATGCGTATTACATGTTTATGTACATATTTGGGTTTTTTTGCACATCAATTTAGGGGCTTGTAAAATTCTAAATCATATTCAAAATCAAATTTATTATCAAAAATCAAATCATAAAATTAAATACATTTTTCTGTGCCTGATTTCAAAATCAAAGCAAAACATTATTGTAAAAACCTGTTTGTATATATATTTTTTAAGTATTGGTATATAGTTTACCCAAAAATTAAAACTTTCATCATTTTAACACAAAAGAAGACCTACTGAAAGAAAAAAACAGCAATTTTTATGTTCCTAAGGATGTAAATGGCAGCTTTTCTGCCAACATTTTTCATAATATCTTGTTTTGTGTTTAACAAAAGAAAGGAATTCATAAAACTGTAGAACCACTTGAGTCTGAGTAGATGGTGAGTAATTTTTCATTCTGGGTGATCTATCCCTTTAACTGCAGTCAGAAAGCAAGGTAACATCTAGATCTCTCTTTCCCCAAGATCATTTACACATTGTACTTCTGAAGTCCTCTTCTTTCACTATGAAAAACTGAACATTATTTACAACAGTAGTCTGGAGCGCAAACCTCTAGTCATATATATCTGTTTGAGGGAGGACGTGCGTGTTGTATTGTTCATCAAAATGTCACTTATGCTTATCCTGGATGCAGCAACCTATATAAAAACCAGCGTCAGCTCATGTGAGTTTGTCCGCTCGCGCGTCATTATGAGACTAAAAGTTCACACTGCAGGCTGTCATTAACACTTCAAGACAGTTTACTGAGGATGTAAATCAGGGGTGTCCAAACTCCTGGAGGGCCGGTGTCCTGCAATATTTAGTTCCAACCTTAATCAGACACACCTGGGAAAGCTAATCAAGCTCTTACTACACTGTAAAACCCAACAGTCGTTATCAAATGAAATGAGCGTAGTTAACTCAAAATTGACTGAAGGTTAATTCTACTCATTTGAAAAGAGTTTTGAAGTTAGTGTTGAAGGTAATGAGTTAAATACCTCATTACTTTAACTTAAGTGGAGTAATTTCACAGTACTCGTATAGATTTGTATGACTCAAATGGTTTGAGTTGCCTTAACTTATTTGGTTTTACAGTACTCCGTTGGTTTGAGTTCTCTTCATTTATTGGGTTTTACTGTGCTCAAACTGCTTCAGTTACTCAAATAGATTAAGTTCACAGTACTCATTAGGATTAGTTTTTGAACTTAAATGATTTGCCCCTCCAGGGCAGAGTTTGGACACCCCTGATGTAGATGAAAAGTAATGATGCTGCAAATAATGTTTAGTTTCTTGCACAAACTAATATTTTACTTCACAAGACCTTAAAGTACTATCAGCAGCCACATATATTCATTTTGTTATGCCTGTGTGCACATACAGTTGAAGTAAGAATTATTTGCCCCCCTGTTCCCCCAATTTCTGTTTAGCAGAGATTTTTTTCAACACATTTCTAAACATAATAGTTTTAATTACTCATTTGCAATAACTGATGAATTTTATCTTTGCAATGATGACAGTAAATAATATTTTACTAGATATTTTTCAGGACACTTTTATACAGCTTAAAGTGACATTTAAAGGCTTAACTAGGTTAATTAGGTCAACTAGGCAGGGTAGGGTAATTAGGCAAGTCACTGTATCGCGATGGTTTGTTCTGTAGATTATCAAAAATATATAGCTTAAAGGGGCTAATAATATTGACCGCAAAATGTTTTTAAATAAATTAAAAACTGCTTTTATTCTAGCCTAAATAAAACAAATAAGACTTTCTCCAGAAGAAAAAAAAATTGTCAGACATACTGTGAAAATTACCTTGCTCTGTTCAAGATTATTTGGGAAATATTTAAAAAAAATAATAATAATAATTCAAAGAGGGGCTAATAAATCTGACTTCAACTGTATATAAGGTTGTGAAAAATAAGGACACCTTATTAAAATTCATGTTTTTTTTTCACATATAAAGACGTAAACAAGAACGAAATGATCCGTGGCACCTCATAAAATTGGGAAGATGAAACTTCAAACTTATGACATGAAATCTCACACAATGTTTTTTTGTTTGTTTTTAAGATAAAAGTAAGATAGAAAAAACACAGGTGACAAACTTAGAACACATTATGATTCAGATGAATAGTACCTTTCAGCGTTAGTAACCATTAAAATTACTATAATGTTAACTTTGCAGCTAAACAGTGGTGGAAAGAGTACGGAAAAATCATATTCAAGTACCATAACTTGTCCAAAACTGTAATGGTAGTAATAGTGAGTATTGCGCTGTAAAGGCTGATGCATCAATTTGTGCATGTGTGTGTGAAAACGTAACATTCTGTCGTGCATTTAGTGATTGTTTAAGGTCATTTGGTGATTTAAGTCATCATACATCCACCATCTTCTCATTAGTGACATGCAGTATAAACAGTCTCAGTCATTGTGTGTAATGATTTTGTTATGAGGTTGTTCTGTATAATGTGATTTTCTTTGTGCGATTTGACTAAATGGCAATCACAAAACTGATTATTCTGCATCTCTACTTTTACCTCTTTACTAGACAATCACCAAAGATGAAAATAAATGTTAAAGTAGTGCAAGCAGGTTATAGAAGTGGAGAAAGTAGTGATCCTGCACTAAAAATGTACAGAAGGGAAAGTTGAAGCAAACATTTTAAAAACTAATTAGTAAAGTACACTCAATGGTAAAAACTACTTGATTACAGTAATTTGAGTATTTGTAATTTGTTACTTCACACCACTGCAGGCTACAGCTAAAACATGTTCTAAAAAAAGTCTCCTACAATAATGAAATAAGGTAAAGGTGGCTTTAAATTGCCACATTTGTTCAGTGAAAACTTACGTTCTCCCTATAGTGTTTATTGACTTTAAAATAACATTAGCGCTATTTATTTGGCTGTACTTCCGTTGTCATTGGCTGCTAATATGACTTCACTATTTAGAATTCACAAAGACTTTCCCTGAACTCGGTTGCAGCTGGAAGGGCATCTGCTGTGTAAAATATGTGCTGGATAAGTTGCAGGTTCATTCCGCTGTGGCGACCCCTAATAAAAAAAGGGAATAAATCGAAGGAAAGTTAGAGAAAGAATGAATTTGCAAAGACTGCTTTTCTGCAATGATATTGATGGCGTGGATTTTCTGTTGGATGCCTACTCCAGGATGGAGTAACACATCTTATTTTGTCTTTATGATTATTAATAAAGTTGAATATTTCAGAGCTTAGATCATATGATGACCTCAATGTCATCCCACTTCAGAGTAAAACCTATAATAAATGTGTGTCATTGCTTTTTCTGCATGTCAAATTATTTGTTTCCTTGGGATCTACCCAGCCAGGTCAGAGGTCATGGAGACCTCTTGAGTGGACCTGGACTATTAAAAAATTGGGAAAAAACTGTTCATATTGTCATTTGCTATTAATAATGTGTAGTGATATTTTCCATTTCAAGTGTTAAATCTTTTAAAGTTAATTCATTTGTATGTAAGCTGTAGAAAAAAGGAAACGGCAATATTATTAAACGTCTTCAGTGCTGATTTTTACAACCATTCAGGTAAGTCTGTATTTCATCCTCTACGTATTTAATTTGATGAGAATGGTGGTATATTTTGCATCATGCTTTGAACAGAATTTTGACACCATACTTCCTTAAACTACCTAAACTTACCATGGCATCACCTTTCTAATCCATCGTACGCGGATCTATTTCATTCACTGTGAATCTGTAATTACAGTCTCTAAATATTCCACCGCTTGTGTAACAGAAACCATAGTTACACTGATCAACCCACAGCACTGAGGCGCCATCCATTGTTTTTACTTTTGTTGAAAGCACCAACACATGCCTCTGTTCGGCTATGGTTACAGAAGGAAAGTGTACAAAAGCACTTTACATGATCTGTTTGGGAAAATAGACGCGCAAGTTGTTTACAAACGTGCACAGACGCGCGAGTCGTGCGCGCGCGGCACCGCAGCGGGTCTTTTGTGCGCGGTGATGACGTAGGGCTCGTCTGTAGTAGCGTGAACGCGCGCAGTGGTGCGCTCGCTCAGAGGGGGAGAAAGAGCCGCCGAGGAGGGCAGAAACACAAGAGAGGGGCAAGTCTTTCTACGACAGCACCGCGGCTTGGGAACAAACCAACTGTGTCGGGTCGGCTGGCATGGAGCTGAGCGTTTCCATTCTGAGTCGTTTCGAGCCGTCCGCCTAGAGCCGGGGCATTTCGCGCAAGGCCGGGGGCAGTTTTGCTGTTGGTCCCGGGGGTTTGTGGAGCCCGAGTGAATCTGTTGCTAGCAGCGCTCGAATGCTAGTTAGCCCCGCTGCTAAGCAGCTAGCCAACACTGCGAGTCAATTGTGTCGGAGATCTCGGAAATACGTTTAAAAGCGGTCACGTTCACCCGCCGCTCTCGCGATTCGTTTTGCTCGTTGAGTTTCGTCTTTTTCCCCAGCGGGAGGACGCTAATAAGCGGTCGCGCGAGTTTCTATTTCGATTTATTTCCAGCTAAGACTTTTTTTCTTCTCTCTATTAGCTTGTTAGCCGCTCTGGTTGGTTTAGTCCAGCTTGTTAGTAGTGTCTGAGATTTCTACTGTAATAGCTGTCAGCGACAACAGCCCCTTGACGAAAAGCCAGTTTATGTGGACATGAATGATCGTGTTTGGTTGTTTCGAGTGGCGATAGTTTGAGATGCCGCGCATGGGATACTTCATGTTTCCAGGGACGCTCTTATTTTCTTGTTAGTCTGCTTTATGGGAGTGCTAGTGTGCAGCCTTTTGCTGTAGACAACACTGGTTTTTAGCAGGAACCGCACGCGGTGTTTCACCATCGGTCGCGCGTCGTTTGGATGTGGTTCAGCCTCACATTTCAGTCGCACTCTCGTTGTTTGTTTTCTTTTTTTATCTAGTGGCTCGTTCAGCTCCGCGTTTGTATCCGCGCTGTCGGTGGTACATGCTCACTGAGACAGCCCGCTGAAACACGCTTTCATTGGTTTGCGGCGGGGAAACGGAGAGATTCGGCTCAAAAGTATTATGGATGATCAGACCCGAATGCTGGCTAGCATGGGCGGACTCGGCGGACTCTCGCAAGCCGACGTGGGTGACCCCGATTCGGTTCGGAAGCAGCAGTCGCTCGGTCAACCGCAGCAAGACATAGGAGATATCCTCCAGCAGATCATGGCCATCACCGACGAGAGCCTCGACGAAGCCCAGGCGAGGTAAGAAGTGTGGCCGCACTCAGGAAAAAGCACTCTTTATTTGATGGATTGAGAGGTACTTCATTGAGCTCTCTGAGGGGAATTGATGTGCAACAGCAAATAGACACAATCTGCACACCTCGTTGCGTTATATATAAATAGCTGCGTTTGTGCGGCCGCGTGAAAACCCACTGTGATGAAATAAGCATAAGGTGTAATGCGTTTACTCCTTCAGATATGCACAGTGCAAAATACACTGTTTATTCACCACGTTTGTTTAGGTGCTTTTGGCTCCCTCTTTTTAAGTTGTAAAAAGTTGGCCTTAAGCTGATTGAGGTTACCATATTAATTTGAGGTTTTAATGAAGAAAAGCATCTGCCTAATGAATCTAAATGCACTTGGTAAATGATCTTTTGAGGATTACATAATGCAATCATGTTTTAACCCTCAGGTGCTCCTTTCGTGGCCGCCAAAAATGCTCGATTTTTACCATTTGTTTTGTTCAGTATTTCTTTTTGCATTGTATGCTATGCATTTCTATTGGTTTAGTTATTATCCATTTATTACTCATTAATAGCCTTTATGCATAGACCTGAAAATGTAGTTTTCAACTTAGGTTTTTGGAGTACAGACTAAAGTCAGTAAGATTTAGTTTTAGCTTTTATTCTATTACAATTTTAAGTTAAAATGATGAGTAAAAGCATTTTTTTTTTGTGGCAGGATAACCAACGTTTACATTTCAAGAGAGTTTTTAATCAGTTTTTGTGAGTGCAATAGTTTTTGATATCAAAAAATAAACAATTTACAGGAATTTTGTGTGTTTCCACAACGAAACACAAGAATCAAAGCATGTAATGCTACAAATCTTGAGAAAAGCAATAAAACTCAGTAATTTTAGGTTGATACGTTTATAAAGGTGCTCAGGTGCTCCTTTCGTGGCAGCCAAAAATGCCTGATTTAACCAATGGTTTTCCTCAATGTTATGTGTAAAAGGATTTTATGTTACTTATTTCAGTTTATGTAGTTATTATCCACTTACTACTTATTTACAGCATTTATGCATAGACCTGAAAATGTTATGTTTTTGGAGTACAGACTTAAGTCACTAAGATTTAGTTGTAGCTTTCACACCATTCCAGTGTTAATTAAGTTAAATTAAATGAATAAAAGCATTTTTGTGCTAGGATTACCAACAATTACATTTCAAGAGTGTTTTTTAATCAGATTTTGTGAGTCCAATGGTTTTTTGATATCAAAATAGCAAGCATTTAATAATTGTGTTTTTTCACAGCAAAAACACATGAATCAAAGCACACGTTTTAAGAAAATCAGTCATTTTAGGTTGCAAATTTATATATATATATGCCTTTGCAAAATCCTGGAGGGACTGTTTAAAATACTATGACCGCCTTGTGTGTGTGTGTGTGTGTGTGTGTGTTTTGATTTTAACGATTTCTGCCAACAAACATCCCTGAATTCCCCTCCTATAATTCCCTTAATATACTCCAAAAATAAACCAAAGACACAAGTATTTTCCCTCCTTTGGCTTTGCTAAATGGGGCCAGAAAGGCTTCAGAGGTCAACCAATATGTTTGTTATCAGGAGCCCATGGGCTCTGTGAAGCCATTTGGTCTTCAGCGAGCGTCTGCCAGATTGAGGCCCCACTAGATAAATGAATTGGATTAATGTGCTACCTCGTCATTAGCATAGATAATCAGCACGCGCTTAATTAAGTCATCGCCGTCAAACAGTGTCAGACTTAACCTCGAGACGAAAACACCCGACAAGTTTGACGACTTTCCCACCTTTTCCTGCAGATTCTCCTCACACACAGCCGGTGTGTGTTTATATATTTATATATATTGACCGCAGTGAAATTGATCTGGCATGGATCGCTAGATTGCGCACTGTGACCTGCGATCTGTTGAAAGGTCAGTGGAGTGGCGGATCCTGGACAAAAGCTGCTTTTTAATGAGGGATCGTATGTGCGTGTATGCCCTGTGATGTGTCATTAGCTTGTGATTTTCCACCAAGCCATTTGACCACCTGGTTCTCTTAATTAATTCACTTCTCTTTTACCCTCCTCCTCCTCCCTGGTGTTCATCCTTTTCATTGTGTGTTGGGCGCAATCAATTCTCCTATAATGTGTGCGCGTGTGCAGCTGTCCACAAATTGAGTTTCTATTAATGAGATGGAGGGTCGCAACACGGCCAACTTATGAACGCCGAGATATTGCCTTTATATCTATAGTGCGTGCGTTGGGTGATTGTGTCGTGTAGTGACTTTGCTGCGCTTGTGCAAGAGACTCATGAATGAATGATGTTGCGAGAGCGTGCTTGTCTGGTTGAAGTGGGTTTTATGGGTATTTGGTTGAAGATCAGCAGTCATTAGGAATGAGGAACTGTTCACCGAAAAATGAATATACTTTTATTGTTTCGTCGAATGCCCTGGCTGCTGGGTGTAAGTAATGAAAGCGATTGGCGGTGCCATCCAGCTCCATAAATGATAAAGTACTAGGTAGTTAAAATGACCGGTGCTATATATTTTTAAGTTTTATGTCAGATGCCTTATGAAGCCGTATGATAACTTCAAGGAAAAGACCAATATCTAAGGTGGTTGAGCGTGTTTTTTAATTGAAGACATTCCTGACTGTCAATTTTAAATACAAAAAATTATAAATTGAGTTAATTATACCCATACAATTGTTGTTTATGTAGCGTAAAAAGTATTGTACGTTTACGATCCTTAGAACGATGCATTTGGTGTGTTCTCTAAATATGATTTAAGCGTTAATTACGTAATACCAACCTAACAAGTCTTGTTTTTAGGGGTAATCGTTCACTTAATAATTCTGCACAATATTGGAAAAATCTGTTATCGCGATATTTTGTTTTTCTGCTATTAATATTGTGATGTAAATATAGATTCACAAGACTGTTGAATGGCACTATTTCTCTAACAGTAGACTAATAGGGAGTCTAGCATAGACATGGTACGATAACCGTTTTTAAGGAATACTGCAGTTCGGAAAAGTCAAGGTTTTAAAACCGACAATTTTCTGCTTTACTGTTTCTAAGGTATAAGTAATATTTTTTTTATTTACTGTTTTTTTTTGGACAACAGCAATATCACCAGCAGAAAATCTCTCCAAAGATGCCCTTTTAAGTTGTAAAAACATCAGTGTTTTTTAAATTAATGAAGACATCACCCAGAAGTCAATAACTTATTTTAATTATTAAGTCTGACATGTTTGCAGTTAAATTGTTTTTTTTAATGTTTCCCAAATTAAAATATATTGTGTACAAAAGGGGAAAAAGTTTTTGTTTTTTACCCAGACATTTATAAAGAATTTTTAGAGCAGTAATCTCAATACCGTAATACCGGACAACGTGATATTTATATCCAAGATTATCATACCATCAGAATCTTATACTGGCCCATGCCTAGTCTAACAGTATTCATGTACAGAAATTGTATAATCACAATGCAAAAAAATGCTTTCTTACTTTTTGTCTTATTTCTAGTCTAAATATCAAAAAATATATATCTTCGATCAAGTTAAAATATTGTTTGGTTTTAAAATTCAGATGAAATAAGGCAAAATTAAGAGTAGAACAATAAGTGAAATAATCTTGTTTGAGCTTTGTAATGTTAATATTTGGACTGAAACAAGACAACTGTGAACTGGTCAACTGACAACTGGTCAACTGTGATCCAGACTTAACATTGCATATATTTGCAATATGGCTATTGCAGATGGGCACATTGTGATGCTAAAACAATATATTGTGCAGCCCTACTTAATGTATATGTTAATTTTCAACTTAAAACAGTGTTTTGGCCACTCATTTACAAGACAGCAGCAGTTTAAGGGAGGGGTCTCTTATGGTTTCAAAGTTTTTCTGAAACGTACCGTTTAAGTGTGTACTATAGCACTTCTGTATTCCAGATTCACAGCCCTTGACAAGCAAACAACAATGCGTAGCTGTTACACTACCATGTTTTGTGTGTTGTCTTTATTTACATGACAACCGTGTTTTAGGTACTGAAAATGCATACAATTAAAAGTTTTGACATCATGTTCATGTTTTTTTTTTTTTTTTATGTGGTGATATCTTGTGCATGAGTGGTACACCTTGAGTATGTGGACGTGCACTAAGTGTTGATTTTAATGCCAAGCACAATTAAAAAAACAACAATGGCGGAGTACATGGTAGTGTTGTTGCTGCTCATGAGTTGGGCCAGACAGAATCTTGTTTATTCCACAGTGAATTTTGTAAAAAAAAAAAAAAATCTGCAGATTTATGTGGAATTATTTTGAGAGTATCGTAACAACAAGCTTAATATATGAAATAAAAAATCAAACATCTTAACTTTTATGTCTACAATGCAAATCCATCTAAATCCGCCTATTTGGTAAACAAAGCAAGTTTCTCGTATAATATATTAACTGAAAGACAGAAAATATAACTTTACAAACTGTATTGTAAATAAATGAAATGAACACTGTCATATTAGTCAGTATTATCACTGAAGTTAAAAACTGAATAAATACAAATTTACACAAGAAAATAAATAGACTCATTGATAGGCTAAAAATCTGTGGATTACTGCGCATGTGGATTTCATGTGCAGGCTCATGAGTTTGTAATGTGTCTTCAGTAAAGTGTGGATTTGCTGATTCAATAATACAACTAACAGTTGAGATGCATCATAAACGCACAGTTCATTTTAAATACAGTGGATGCTAAGCTCCCACAGGCACAACGTCACTTTCAAGTGACATCGTCAAATACTGGGCCGAAATGTATAATACAGAATTTTCAATATTTTACTGGCGGTTTTAAAAAAACGCTGTTGTTAAACTTTGAAACATAAGGGACAAAACAAAACAGTTTTTTAAAATCTAAAAATAGCCTAAGACTGTATGTGCGTAAATGCAAATTGTTTCTTCACAATGTGACAGTGCCATCTACTGGCCTGGTGGTGCATAATACAGCATTTGTAAAACATTTTTAAGA